TCATTGTGCCCAGCTCAGAGGTGCCAAAATATATTCCAGCGTTCAGTATCTAAAATGATTCAATCAGTGTGTCTCTTTTGCAATACAAAAAATAACTCAGTCTACTAGTTGAAATCCAATTATAAACCGCATACCTAATAGTAACCGCACCCCTGATTTCGACTTCAGTGTTAAAGAGTTCTCAACAAAAATTGAAAACATGAAAAGTACCTATTAATAACTGTACCCTCAATTCAACACGACCGTGACCGACTTTGTTTCAACCAGCTGGTACATTGTTCCTAATCCTATTCATTTGTTTCGACAACGTGCCTAAAAATATTCACACCTCTTTATTGTTCAGTAGTGTTAGGATGTCAAACACGCAGTGAAACTTCTATTTTTTTGTGCCAACTTTTGTCAATACTCTTTATGAATACGTCAGTGTGTCGCAAGTTTTCGACAATGAGCTGTTCTCACCGAAAAACTGTTAAATGCTTTTTCAATGCTCAGTTTATCTTTCGAAAACAACTAATTTCTTGAAAAAAAAAAGGCGTGTCGTTTTCCCATGGAAATCAAAGCCAAAAGATCGCACTACATTATCGGTAAATCGTTTCCGGGTTTCATTCACCATGAAATCAGTCATTAACATATTTAAATGAACTAACTTAGGTAATTTGAACACGTGGGCACCATCCAGCATTTTGATTGGTTAATTAGCGACTTGACCTACCCGGTCAAGTAATGTCTCGTGTGCATTCAAACTACATAATGGAAGTCGTGTTCCATCGATCGTTTACATCTGACCGAAATAATTTGCTTACGGTGAAACTAAGTTAAATTTTACTTGCATTTGATAACAATTCAACAAATTCATTTCTTGTGAGTTATTATAATCACTACTGAGTAATAATCAACAATTTCAACAGTTCGAAAACAAGTAAGTTATTCACTTGTGAGCCGAAGCATGGCCGGATTGCGTTACCGTACCCATGGTACCATACTTTTTTAGTGTCGTACCATGATCATTTTCTACTATGCAATGCATTAATGTTTGTTTTTATTTGAAACTTTAAAACTCATGTCAGAATATACTTTCCGTTATGAAGAAAATAAAAAAAATAAATGCATATAATTTACATTAAATATACAGAGTATTTTTTTTTTTCATGTGAACAGTTTTTTTGTGACGTGATGCTTCACTCTTCCCTGACATCTAAATTAGAGTTACGCTTATATTCAAAAGATTGTACGATGTATTGTTTGTTTTGTGCAAGTGACGTGGGTAAAAAATGACCACGCCCATTTAGTGATTGCAATATTTACCTAATATAAACCGCACCCGAACTTGAGCTGTTGATCGCAATTTTTTATTTGATACATTGTAATATAAACCGCGGTTTATAATAGGATTTTAATGGTACTAGTTGAAGCCGATGATTTTTCAATTCCAATAATTTTACCTAAGTATAGATTTATTGGATTATTTTGTCTTATTTTAAGATGCCATATTTTTCCGTTATTCACATATTTTTCCATTACTAAAATTTGAAGAAGTTTACAATAAATCATAAAATTAGTTTTACAAGCAAATGGAAAATTCAATGAGGCTAGAACTAGCAAATAAAACTGCCAGGGCTATGTTTGGATTTCAAAAGGCGTTACCCAAGGAAACAGATTGCAAGACATACAGTACCTACGTCTATTCAAGGCTCGTCGTAAACTTGTAAAATATTGGTTCTGGCTCAAGTATTCCTGAAAATACTCAAAATCGAAACAGGAATTTTACGAACAACATAATTTGAATTTATCATGGGTTAGGGCAGTTGAAAAAATGATAAGAGAAAATGATAAACATTTTTTAATGAATTTTTCAGATACAAAATTAAAATTCATCACCCTCAATAGAGATTATACATAAAAAATTAAAATAACAAACTTAGAACATTTACCAAATTCCATGAGTTTTACACTTTTTAGCGTTATTTATCTGGACTCAATTTAATGACAATTCTTTTACCCAACCCAAAACACCTCTAGAATTAAGAACATGTAAATATTGTACACAAGGAAAGATTGAAAATGAACAGCATCTCTTCATGGAATTTACAAAATATAGAAAACAGACAAGAATTTCTTTCAAAGTGTTGAACTTCAAAAAAGTAAAAAGACAAGAGCAAATATTTATATAACATTTTTTTCTACTAGGATACACTGCACTGACTCATGACAGTTTTTCATTTTAAACTATTTTATATTACACTTTATTGCTGTACAATGATAGAAATGTGAGTTCTAAAGTTGCAATAAAAACATTGTTAGAGGGTATGAAATATGATGATACTGCCCTGTCAGGTGACAGATTATAATATTTTGTTTTTAAGGTGACAATTACGTAGACTGTACAGTGGAGAATGATGGTTTTCTTGGCAGTCATAAAGGAATCAACTTACCAGAAGCTGAAGTAGATCTGCCAGCCGTATCAGAGAGAGATACGAAAGATCTTTTGTTCGGTGTTGAACAAGGTGTAAGTTTATCCTTCAAATTTTTTTGCAAATTAGGCCAGACTTTTTTTATTTCTTGTTTCTCGAGCTTTTATAAGGCATTTTTTTTGAGGGCCAAAAAAATAAAAAAAAAAATTGTTTGATTTTGATCATGATACTCCCACGAAAATGCAACTTGGATTTGTTATGCGATGAACGGTAAAAAAATGAAGATAAAAATAATATTTTTTTAGCAATTTTTTGCGCTTACAAGTCAGCAGGCATGAGAAATTACGCTGAAATAAAATTTCCTCCTGTTCATTCGGCGGGTTCGCAAAACAAAGGATAATAAGTCTGGCCTTATAACAAAAATGTCATATAGAGTGTCTTTTTTTAATTCATCAATTGATTAATTATCAGTTGTAATGGTGAATAAGGTACTAATAATTTTGTTTTTCTATATCAGGTGGACATTGTGTTTGCTTCTTTTATTCGTAAAGCAGCTGATGTGAAGGCAGTACGTGACGTACTCGGTGATCGAGGAAAGTCCATCAAAATTATCAGTAAGATTGAAAACCATGAAGGCATTAAAAAGTATGTTTGATATTTTTTTTCAAATTAAGAAGTCTACTTATAATCATCAGTTCAAATAGCTATGTACAGTACAGTTCTCGCGGAAGCTTTGGTTTTTGTGGCATCATTGTCGCCTCAGCATCGCATCATTGTGGCATCATTGTCACCTACGCATGGCTTCGTTGTCGCCTCAGCATCGCATCATTGTGGCATCATTGTCGCCTATGCATGGCATCATTGTCGCCTCAGCATTGCATCATTGTGGCATCATTGTCACCTACGCATGGCTTCATTGTCGCCTCAGCATCGCATCATTGTGGCATCATTGTCGCCTATGCATGGCTTCATTGTCGCCCCAACATCGCATCATTGTGGCATCAGCTTCATTGAAAATTGAAGCTGTGTTCGCCTCGCTTATTTTGTGGCATCATCGTGGCCTCAGCTTCGCAGTCTCATGGCATCAACATGGCATCAGCTTCAAAGTATTGTGACATGAGTATGACCTCATTATTTTCACATGGAAAGGCAGTAGAGAAAAACACATGTACAGAAGTTTGATATGTAATCAAGTTGAAATTCAAAGCGATAAAGGGAATAAAATAATATGACCAGAAGTAAAATGACATTTTAAACAGATATCTTGTTTATTATTATTTAATGTTGCGAGTATTGGGTACCGAAAACTGTGAAGTACTACGTGAAAACACGCGTAGCCGTAAATATTTGGTGACCAGTCGATGAACAATTTGAAACTCATTATACACACGGAAGTCCTTTGATACTAAATATCATCGACCCCAATCTGGTTTACCTTATTTCCCAACTTGCAAAACTGATTTGTATCTCAGCCCACTTTTTCTTTTTTCTTTTTTTGAACTGAGGTCAAATCCCAGCAGTTTGTCAAAATATACCGATGTTTTTCAGTGAATGATTGTGAAGCCTGTCACAGCACAGTGAATCGACGCCGGAGATTGGACAGTACGACGACCCTTCAATTAGCGTCAAATATGCTTTGTTACAACATCATTGATTTGCTGAAAGTCACCTGATCGGAGCACGACCTGGGTCACAGAACCATATTTGTTCGTATTATCAACGGGACTTTGCGAGAGAACCACACCCACATTTTCAACCATTTTTAGCGCGGAAGTTGCCAACAAATGTCAAAAAACTCATGAATTTTATGGATTTGAATAAAATAAAGCTAGCGATTGGTAAGACTGGTTAATAATATATCCCCCGATGCTCTTCGAATTTTTTAAATTTTATTTCAAGGCGAGAAATGGATGATTGAAGTTCAAGGCGACAGTTTCACCGCGACAACTCTACGCTGTGTTGTAGTTTCATGAGGTAAAAAAATATATATAATAAATAGTACTTGTTTAATTATTTGGTTTTACAGCCCGCAAATTACGGGACATGATCGACATGAATTACGATAAATAAATGCTGATTGTGTTGAATAATGGACGTCGGGACTGTTTGGAGAAACCAACGGGCATCGATATTCCAAACAAATTATTGGGACACGGTCGGTAGACATTTCAGACAAATGAAATTATTAACGAAAGACGAGATTTTTTCAGATATTTACGAACATACTGTCACACCAAAT